TGCATATGCATTGATTTCTAAAGACCATACCTTAGTATCACCTTCTTTAAGCTACTTTTAGTAGCGAAGTGAAAAGATTCAGATCTGCGAAACATCCCATAGTGAAAAATAGGTTGAAAAATAGATCAACTTGGCTTTGAAAAAAACGAATAGAGAAGCCATAAATATATAAGGAAAAAAAAAATCTAACGATCCAAGGTTATCTTTCTAAATCCTTTACAAGTCTCAACAGTAAATCAAGTGAAAAAGACAACAATCAAGTCACATCCAGCATTCTTTTCAAGTGGTAGATAGAGCATGGTGCTCCTGTTTATCCAGATGCCAGAAAATTGAATTAGATAGCCTCTGTCGAAACAATAATGTTTTTGTAAAATTTCCCTAAAGCTTCTCAATTAAATAGAATAGTGTTGAACGTCAAAAGGTTCACGGTGACAAAAGAGGTGTTTTATTGTCTTAGCGTTGTATGAAAATTCGGCACACACAGATAATTAAATGCAACGAATGGAGACACCAAAATTTTTACGTAGGAAAATCCTAGAAGGGAAAAATCATGAGGCCTAATTTAGTCAAAATAATCTAATATATGTTTATGAGTAAATGGGTGCACCTTTCTCTTACGATAAGAATAACAGGGTTATAATCTTAAACAAAAAATTACATGACTTTACACAACACAAAGAAAATACATGTGTTAGAAATAATAATCATAGTCCGCCTACAATGATTGCAAGTAGTGATCATCGACGATTGGTGTTGGGCAGCGACAAGTAATGACGGTGGGCAGCGGTCGAAAATGATCAACAAACAGTGGTAAACGGTGGCAGACGGCTACGGAGGTCGGTAGTTACTTGCAGGTCTTCTCCAAAACAAACTCTAGAATTTCACTTCTCCATTTCAAGTGAAAAGTGGGGGGCTATTTATAGCCTTTTAAAGAGGGGCATTTTGGTCTTTTCACACATAACTTTCCTAATCATCTGATCAGACGATCCATGTTGACCCCCCTCGATCATAGATGATTTTTTAAGAATTATGATGACTCAATGACCTCGGAATTGAGTGATTTTAAACTTGTTGGATTCCTGATTCGACTATAAATATATTAAATTTGGAGTTCATTATGATCCAAATGTCTCTAATTAGGCTTTAGCGGCTTGATTGAACTCAAATTGAACTAATTTTAAGAGTTGCTAAGTTCGTCTTGTCGAGCGGTCAGCTTGACTATAAACTTGTTGAAACCGAGGCCTGCATGATCTTGAATTTGAAATTATAATATTTATTGCTAAAAATATATCGAAATTTATGATAAATGATAATAATTTCTTGATGACACATCAAATAGTTATGACAAAAATTATAAATTATGATATTAGAAAATAGTCAAGAGAAACTCGCAGAAAAGCTGATAAGAATGAATTTAATTAATTGATCAACCAATCCTGCAATCTGACTTAAAGTTCATGCTGGATTTTAGTACAGATCGAAAGTTAGTCCCTTTACGACACCATGTGAATTTTTTTGTTTAAGAAGCATGTAAATCGTAAAGGCTCAACATTTCCTGTTGAAAAACAAGTTAATAAATTTGGACTTTCAGACCTGGAAGGCATTGTTTTTCAAATGCCATTTGAGTTGGAACTATTTGTTTTCTAACGGTATTTTGTCAGTTATTATCAGACATAAAGCAGATACATTGAATACAACTTAGACACAAACCATGCCAACAGAACTCAATTATTTATGAAATCAATCTTATTATATTTGCACCCCCATTCTTCCTTTCTATCAGACTCTAATTTTATGAACATTTTTTTTTCTTTTTAAACCCCTTGGGAAATTTTATACAACACAAAAAACATATACAAAAATAGGCAAGAAGTCCCTACTACATCCCAATTACAACTCACACAAAAAAATAAAACCTAAGGGACCTCTCCCCAAAAATAAAAAATACAACTCACCCCACCTGTAAACCCAAAAGGAAAACATTAAGCCAAATCATGTAAGCAAAGTAAGTACAAATCTATTGGTAAGTATTTGGAAATGAAAATAGAATTGAGATTAGCTCCCACTTTAGCAGACCAATTAGCAGCCCCATTTCCATCCCTTTTAGTGTGAGTCCAACAAATCTCCAACCCTTTAGAAAGATCAGCAATCCTTTTCATTTGTGAAATAATGCTCTAATGACATTCAACCTTTTTCCTGCAACAATTCCATAAAACTAAAGAATCTGATTCTAAAATCACATACTTCCAACCAAACCTTTTAGCAATCAACAGCTCAAAAATTACAACACCAGCCTCTGCATTCAAACATATTATGGACATTTGTTTGAGTCCTGAAATCTACTAGGATAGCAATTTTAACTTATGTTGGACAAGCGATGGTATATTTTTTTAATCAATTTTGATAAAATGACGGAAAAAGGCATATGATAATACATGCCTAGTGTTTTAATAGTTTCATCGTATCGTAAATTTTGAAGAGTTTTTCCTTTCTCCATATCTGTATCATGCTATTCCATTTAGATTGTCAGTGAACTTGCTTCCTAGATATATCAAATTTAAATTTAATGATTCATTAGTGCAATTCACACAGAAATTGAAAATTGCAATTAGAGAACATCCAAACATCATTTATATTTCTGACAGAGAAAATGATATTGTAAGCCTTTGTGAATCTAGCCTAATTCCCTAAAAAGCTAACTGAATTTCTTAAAAAAAAAGAAAAAAAGAAAAAAAGGAAAAAGAAAAAAACCCCGCGATAATGGAAATCACATTGCTAGAGGAAGAAAGACAATTGGAAAGACAAATCTCATTCTTCCACAAACTTTCTGTAAATTGAAGTTTATTCCATAGTTTTGTTCTCATACTCACGAGCCACCCTACTAACAAGGAAAATCATTGCTAATATTTGTCATCCAAATACATAAAATTGTCATGAGATTTTCTTTTTCTTTTTAGTGTTGAATATAAATGATATAACCATTTTTTGAGAAACATGCTTCAAATTCTTGCTTTTTTGTGCTTTGGTCCTATGCTCTCCCATAATGCTCAGAAGTCTTAATACTTGAATCTCGACTAGGTTTGAAGCTTCTGTTTCACACCTTCAATTTTTCAAAAGCTTATGTTATGTATAAAGCATGGCAAGTTTTACATCCCTAGCTCGAGCAAAGTGCTTTATGCTTACTTCCCATTTCCCACTCGCCAAGTAAATTCGTCTCTTTAATTTCCTCATATTATTTCCCACTACAAATGTACTCATTCAACCACAATGTATCAAGTTTTTCAACTTTTCAAAGCCATCTAAAGATTTTTAAGTGATAATCAAGTTAAGCATATGAGTTTAATAAAATATGAAGAAAATGTGGAGTGAAATTTTATCCTTAAGATTTTTTGAATGGCAATAATGTTAAGATTGCCTTCCTTAAGACTTCAGTCACAAATGTGAAACAAAGAAACATACTTTCTAATGTAAAGACAAGCCAAGAAAAGCTAACGAGAAAGGTGTTAAAACAGTATCCAACTCTTTATAAGGGTCATTTTAGTTTCAAAGCCTATAAAAATGTCAAATCAGCCTCCTAACGTTTTTAACATGTTGAAATAATTCATATATGTTTTTAAGAGATGACTACTTCAGCCCTATTAAGAAGTCTAGAGATTAATTTAACATTTTCACAAACTCTAGAACTAAAATAACCCCCGTTATAAATAGTTAGGGAATCATTTCGACACGCCTCAAAACCACTATTGATATTTTTTTTTATATATATTTTGATCTTAAACTTTTGTCCATGTTTTATATAGAACTAAAAAAATATTATATTTCCCAACATATATAATGCCTAACAAATTTTCTTATTACCATGTCAATATAAAAATGTCCATGTTCTTAGTTTATTATCAATAATGTTTTTTTTTTTGTCATTTGAAGCACAGTAATCATAACTATATGTATATTTATAAAACAAACTAATCCAACTGCTTGTTTAGATGGTGCTCCAAATGCCAATAAACATATTTAAATCAATTATGTACACAAACAAATATTTTTTTTTGCCATTTTTATGAGCCTAAAGATAAAGAAAAAATGGTCTCAACTTTCTTGGAGCATTAACTAATCTTATTGACAAGAATAAATAAGCAAATCAAGCAGTCAAAATTGCCTTTTCTGCTTCCTTTGGCATTCTTGTAGTATCTTTAATTATGTATGGGGCATGATAAATCATGTCAGATCATAAACTACTAGAGAGTCCAAACCAAAAAACTACAAGTGTACACTATAACAATTAATTTTATGGGCATATAAAAAACAGAACTTGCAAACACGACTCATGTGCTCCATTCATTCTCTTTAACTCCATAGCCACACAACTATGCATAAGAAACTAAACAAGCTTGCTAGCTTCTCCAAAACACAATGTTAAGTGTTCTCTAAATCATTACTAGAAGATTTTAATTCAAAAGTTTTATTTATTTGCCACCATTTTTCTACACAACTACCTGATTTTTAGTGAGTATTCTCTACAATACAAAATACTTGTAAGATTATGTGCACTATAAGTAAAGATAATCATCCTGTGTTTCAAAACCAATATATATTCTGAAAATCAATGTGGGTAACCTATTTTAAATTAAAATGACATATGAAATGATCAGTTGTCGTATGTACAGAACATTTTATGGCTTACAATTAGTAGATTTCAGTAAGTATCAGGCAGCTGCACCTAAACACAGCTATCCCACAAAAATCCATGCCAGTTTGTTTTTGAATTCCAAGCTTAACAATGAAATGACTAAATTAGACAATAGAAGCGAAAACAAAATTAAAAAAGTTTTTTTCTTTTTTTTTAAAGATAGTTTTTTTTTACTTCCATCATTTGGTGCTGTATAGCTTGAAACCAACATTAGCATTAAGCTCCAAAAATCCGTCTAAAATCCTCTCAAATGTAGTGCTTTCAATATTGAGTGAATAAAATCTTCATTTTTCAGTATATGTTTACTATCCACAAATAATGAAATGAGCACCAAGGAAAGTTTACATTTATCTCAAAATAAATAACCATGTTAGAAATAAAACATGAGGAACTTGTTAAACAAATGAGAATGAAAGGCAATAACAAATTAGTAAGGTTTTACATCAGCTTAACGCTCAAAAAATAAAACAGTATAGCATGCCAAAAGTAGGGGGAAAAACGACCAAAGATGCATAAAACTTCTCTTCACAAACCATATCCTTTTAAACTACTTTTTCAAGTAAATTCATGTACATAATCCAGCTTATGAAGCTACTCACTGGTCATTGAAAGAACCAAAACCAATCTACAAGGATCCTCCACTGCACATAACCTCAGCAAGAACATGAAGAAATAAAAGAATAGAGGTAAAATGAATAAGGATCAATTAACATGGATTGCCACAACCTTCAACAAATAGGCTTACACCTTAAACTCATAGAGGTTTCTTATCATTGTAGATTGAAAAACAAATCTGCAATAATTCAGTCAATTTGAGCTTGGTTCTCTGAACTTCATCATTTCCCCTCACCCGGCAATGCATTGGAATCCCTTACACACAGATAACCATATACCGAACAAAAGGCTGCAGACTACCAGATCGATAATCAGAACCATTCTTACCTGTTGCCACCAAATCCTCTGCATCGATTTCCGACCTCCTAAACCCAAATTAAGATCGGCGTCACCATCATTATCCGTTACAGAGATCTCATGCTCATTTCCGCCTCGGGAATCGCCAACCCCCCCTTCGTCACTTTTCGGGTTCTTTTTGCGCTCCTTAACCTTCCTCTTGTGCTCGCCGGTGTGGAGGAGGTTGTCAGAAAACGGTGGGGTGGAGGGAAGAGGAGGGGACGAAGAAAGCGCAGGTGGCGACGAGGAAGAGGGTTTCTCATCCTCGGAAAGAGAAACCGACCCTGCGGCGACGCGACGAATGACAGGGAGGAGCTCGTCCTGAAGACAGCGTTGGGGAATTGGATCGCCAGCATCGATCCGCCTGCGGGCTATATAAGCGGTGGCATCGCGGAGGCGATGCAGGAAGTGGAGAACGGCAGAGCGGCCGAGCGACTCTTCAGCAATGGCAAAAAAGAGAAGAGGTTCAGCTATGAGGAAGGCGTAGATCCGGCTGCCGGCAGTGTGAGTGTAAAGGAGGTGGTAGCGCGGGGCGGCATCGATGCAGATAGCGGCGAGCGCGGAGAGGTCGACGGCAGCGGAGGCGCCCCCGCCGGGGTGGGGGAGCGCCGCGGGGGCGAGGGGCCGCCGGTGGGGAGAAGCTCCGCGAGGACGATGGGGCCGCAGGAGACGGAGGCGTAGAGAACGGAATCGGGATCAGATTCGGAGGTCATCCGATCGCGGGGAAGCGCCGAAGCTGATGGTAATCAGGAGGGAGGGTTGCTGTCCGAAACCATTCTGGTTTGGATGAATTCTCCTTCAAGGGATTATGGTAAGTTGATGTGGATTTGGGGGTTGGCGTGGAGCTGCGATTATTGATCCTTAATTGTTGTTGTTCGATTGGTGGTGAGGGGTCTGACAGCGGAGAAGGATGAAAGTTTGTTCTAGTTATGGAAGCTAGGGTTTATTAGGTCAAACTTCTAATCACCAATTTTAGAAGGCAATTTCAGTTTAAAACCAAGCGTAAATTTTACTTCTTTTGCGTTTATATTCGCCTGCAGCAGAGGCATCCATCGCTTCTAACTACCATGGCGGCGACGAATAAGACGATGACAGCGGCGGCGAGAACAGTGGTGGCGACAACGAAGAGGATGGCAATGACGGCGACAATGGCGGCCGTTGAGATGGTACTGATAAGATTTTTTTGGGGGAGTAATAGTTCCAACTGTTTTAGCGGGATTAACATGGTGGTATGAATCGTTTTTTTATTATAAAATAATTAAATATATATATTAAAAATGTGAAATAAGGAGGATTACGTGATTTGGTATCAAGTTATGATGTAGCTAAAATTTGATGAGATCTTAACACGGTTATTTTAGGAGCAGATTGGTTAGTAATAAAAAGGGGGGTTCACTTACATTCAACACGATAGTAAAGGCCTATCTAGTAAAGGATTTAGTGAAATTGTATCGGAGTCGCACCTAAAGAATATAACTTAAGATATGAGAGAGAGCGAGAGTGTGTGTGTGTGCAGTAATAAATGAGGGGATTGTGTAACTTTTAATTTATGGAATGATCATTAATTTATTGACAAATGGGATATAATATATAAAATTACATATTTATTCTTGTTTTAATGGGGGGCGTTACAGAGTATTCTGAGTATTTACATAAATGAACCTTTGACTCGGCTATCTTATTACTTGGTCAGTTGGGATTAGTGGGTCTTGGTTTGGCATTGTTCGATCGTCCGTTTATGTTGAGTTGTGGGCAGTCGATTTGCTCCAGTTGATCTTCACTCGTCTGGACTGCTCGATCAATTTTAGTTTAATGGTCGGTTGTTTTGGTCTCATTGAACTATTGAATCCTAAATGAGGAGCTATTGTCTTCAGGATGAGACTAAGCTGTCAAACAGAAAGTGAATTGTTGTAATCCGGCAGATAGCTCAGCCCTTGATAAAAGGTCCTTCGGGGTATTCAGGTAATATATCATGGTAAAACCTTCAACCTTCTAATGAAGAGTCTCGGAGGCTCTTATGAGGCGGCTAGTGATGCTGAGGTGAGAGTTTGGCTATTGCCTTCTCTCGACTTAATAGATTTTTGTTATTGGCTCAGACAACATGCGTCTGATCGGCCTCAGGTCTCTATCGAAGTGATATGTACTTGGCCAATTTAGTCCTTTGATCTTACGATGATAAGACTTTTGGTCATCCTTTTGTGGGCTATTTGTCGTCATACTTTCATGCCTAAGTGTATTTGATTTTTTTTAGATTCGTGCACACATTTTTTTATGTACAAACATGATTAACTAGGGTTTTAAATTAAATCATGTCAGACAATCATTTTGGATGAGTTAAATCCTTAGATTTACTAAACTTAAATTTAGCCCATTTTGATGCAAATCTTTAATATAGTAAATTCAAATATTTTACAAACTTCAAAAATTTGGGAATGTATGAAGAGAAAGATTGGTGCGAAGAGCCTCACCTTCCTCAATGGTTTTGGGGAGGAAGATGGGAGTTTTTGTGGTCTCTATATGCTACGAGCTTATCATTTCCCAATTAGCTTTAATCGTGATTCTATTGTGAGGGTTTGGTCATTAATCGTGATTCTATTGCGAGGGTTTGGTCATGAAAGCGATGGTTTTGGGTGAAATCAGGGAATAATGGAGGAACATAAGTGAAAGTTTCAAGCAGAGAGGGGAAGGAGTAAATAGGTGTTGAATTATGATTAGTCAATGAATCACGCTGAAGGAATAAAGCATGAGTAAGATAGAGATAGACAGAGAGATGATTGAACAATAATACGTTGTGTCAATCATATGGCGAGAGTACAATGTGATGATGTTAGATTTTTATCCATGCTTTAAAGGGATTGTAAAGTGTATTTATGATATTTTACATCTATGGGGTGATTGTTCAACCGCTCTCTAAGCTTAGATTTGGGTCGACAGAATCAACTCAATCAATTGAGTTTAGTCGATATGAGTTGGTTGGTTGATATAGCCCAACTATCAATTCTTAACCTTTGATGAAGGGCATTTGGATGTCTCTGGGGTGAATCAAATCGTCATGAGATTGACTCTCCTATGATAATTAGCTTGGATGTTCTTTTGCCTTATTTTTATCTAAATGACTCGTTCTTGTATGTTTCAGTCATTTTTTATGTATCTCTTGATTCGATCTGTTTTGGCCTTGCTGGCTTTGGTGGTCTGACAAGCAGGTCTATGATCTTCTGTCGATGGGCTCTTCTTTGTTTTATTCTTTCTTTCTCGATCGTCAAATATCTTTAGGATCAGCTCTAACATATTTTTATGTACATATATCACTCTCTTATTCTACTTCTTAAAAGTGATATTGTGATAAGAATAAGAGAATTTAATGCAAAGAAGTAGATTATCCTCATTGTTAATCAATAATTCAATGATTGAACTCTATCGGTTTCCACATTTTATTCTTATAAATAAGGCATGACAAAACTCTTCACTTTCCATATTCATTATGCGACCCTTCTCATTTAAATTGGTTGGCTTTCGAGCATTGTACTAGAGAATGTGTTGAATCCCTAGGATGATATCCCCAACAAAGATCTCTTTCGAATGAACAGTATCGCTCGTAAGGTGAAAGAAAGAGGAAAATCGTCATTAAAAAGATAAAAGTAATTATGTTGCTGGATCAGGTGGAATCGTCTTATTCGTTCCTTGGCACTATGCAGAGGAACGTTCAAGCGACCTACTCAACCATCAATATGCATGTTAAGACTTCTGTTGTTGCATGTGACTTTGATTAAACGGACTGCACAAGAAGCTGTTGGTGCTCTGCCAGTACATAGTGAGGACACTACGCTGATTATAACGTCTGAGTTGGATCGACTCCTTGGTATGAGGAGCCTTGATCCTTTTTGTTTTTGTTTTTTTTTTCTTTTTTTTTTGAAGTTTTTTTTACATTGCATCTTAGTAAAAGTCGAAATATGGTCTTCCTGCAGATGACTCAGATTTGAGAGATTCGAGCTAGGGTCCATCTCTAGCTAGTATTGACGAGAATCTGACTGAGGCACCAACAATAGCAGTACATGCGTCAGGCGAGAGGGCAACTGACTCTTGAGAAAGAATGGTGGGGTTGATTGCCTAAGCAATCTAATTGAGGCTAGCAGGGAAGTGATACAAGGTAATTTTATGTGTATTCTCGCCTTAACTCCTATGTTTTATTCCATATTTATCATGATTTTGCTCTTATGGAAGGTACTTTGTGGTCTTTTGCAGGTTACAGGGTCGAACACGTATCATTGAGTGAAAACACGAAGTGTGTTATGGAGCTGGCCAAGCATGATCATGCCTGAATGTGTCGTAATTATGTTGACATTGTTGTTGGTCAGGCATAGTTACGCCAACATTCGACGTGGCTATGCCAACTATGACGTGATTACCCTAACCTTGGCGTGGTTATTCCACCATGGGGTCGGGATTGATTTGGCATGATTTTTCATGGAGTTTTTGGCAAGAACTATAAAGGGAGAGCTTGGGCATGACCTCGGGAGAGTTGGGCAGACCTTGGAGGCTTTCTTCATTAGGTTTTAGAGTCTCTTTGTAAAACCCTAGAGTTTCTCTTTCTCATTCCTTAGGGATAAGCTCTTAGGGTTATTTTACTTTGAGTTTTTCAGTGTTCTGTGAGAGAGAGATTGAGTGATGTGTGCGTGAGAGATTGTGGAGAGTTGATTGTTATAATGTGAGGATTCAATGTATTGCTAAAAACACTTGTTTTGGTTATAAGTTTGCTCCTTCTTACACTTATATCTTTAATTATTTCAATGAAATTCTCCATGCCTTTCTCCTGCATATTTCATGGCTAAAATTGCTTTCATGCTCCTATGATGTAAGGATAGTTTTTCTGTATATTTACTTTGAGTTTTTCCCTGTATACGTTTTTTGTGCTTCTGAATGATGCATATTAATGTGTTAAGCTTTAGATCGTCATTTATTCATAGAGAGTCGATATATGAAGCTTAAGAGAGGTTCAAGAAGTTTCTTAGAAAATGTTCCCACCACACCCTACCTGATTTTCTGATTATCCAAACATTTTATAACGGGTTGGTAAGACCCTTCAGGTTTATTATGAACGTCACAGTTGGGGGTCCATAATGTCTGAATCATTTCATGAGGCATATGAACTGATTGAGGAAATGTCCATCAATAACTTTCAATGGCCTTCTGATAGAACCACTTCAAAGAAGGTACTTAGTGTGCGCAACACAAACGTTTTGATTATCCTAGCTTTATAAGTAGTTGTCATTTCTATGAAGTTAGAAACCTTTGTGATGAATTTAGTGTCAAGACATTATCAAGTGATAAAAAATTGGGATGATTTATGGACTAATAGCAAATTTTAACATTATTGCCTTAGAGACTGTGCTTGTTGTAGGAAAACAGACCCATAACCCTTACTCCAACACCTATAACCCAGGCTGAAAGAAACACCCCAATTTCCAATTGAAAAATACTTATACTCAAGGTATAGGAAACCAACAGTGTAGGAACACTCAAGCAAACCTAATAGGTACTTGAATAACCACGGCGGTAATAACCAGAGAGCAACCTTACCCATATGGATTCACTTTGAACGCCCAACCTTAGAAAAAGATGTCATCTTTGAAAGAGTTAGTGTTACAAATGGGAAACCAATTACATAACCAAGCTGGAAACATAAGGAAAATTGAAAATTAACTTAGATATTTGGTGAGCTCAATGAATAATAGACCTTAGGGGACGCTCCCCAATAACATCGACATGAATCTAAGAGATCAAAATGTGGAGCAGTGTCAAGCTATTAGAGCAAGGAGTTGGAAGGAATGAGAAGATACCCATATGAGAGAACAAATTTGTTGTGTCACACTTAGGAAAACCTGCCTCACCTCTTGGGATAAGACAAAAACCACTACCAACCTTTCCCAAGAGACTCCAAACGCATAAGAGGGACCAACAAATATCTAATGTTCTAGAGGTTGTCAATGAATTCACCATCAATGTGCCTTATACAAAAAGCCTTTGAACATATGTTGAGTTATGTGGGGTTACTGAAAGATGTCTTGGATAAGAAGATAAAATTAGGAGTTGACGAGATGGTAATTTTCATTGAGGATTATAATGCCATCTTGCAAAGGAGGTTGCCAAAAAAAAACTAAAAGACCAAAGTAACTTCACTGCTTCTTATAGGTTGTGTTACACTGCT